AAGTAAAGAAAACAAAAACAAAATCATTCCAGCGGTTTTCGAGCATTTTGGAAATAAAAAAAAAATTGCTAATTTTTTCAAAAATTGTTTGCAGTAAAATGCTCAACTGCTGTTGAACTTATATAAAATTTATACACGATCTAGATCTTCTAGAGCACTTTAAAGGCTCAAAATTGACCACAAAATAAGCCAATATTTACCGTTCTTTCTACGACAGAAACTGCCATGGTTAGACACAAAAATGAATTTGTTGATAGGTTTAGAATTTTATCTTTGAAACGCTACACTTGTCTTTAAAATCGCTTCATTAGTTCTCGTGCAATAAGCGTTTTCGTGAAGCTCTAAAAATTACAACTACAACATTTCAGCATAGCCACCATATCGAAACGTAAGACGTATTCTACGTCAATATACTTGAAATTGCAGCTTTCATCAGCTTCTCTATTAATTAATTATAGTAATTAATTTTGTGTAAATTTAAAATTCATTTAACTCAAACCCACTGAAGATGGTCAAGCTTTCTATGTCTAATTTTTTCTTGTCCCCAACGATAAATAAAAAATACAACTTTAAAAATTTTTCATAATTCGAATTCTTTTTGAAGTTATAGCTACATATACATATGTATCTATATACATACATATTTATGTACAAATATATATGTAATAACTTTTTTCGAATTATCTCAGTGTTCAGTAACTTTTAGGCGAGCTCTACATAGGTTACATTTGCCAATTTTATAGACTGCATCGTTGTAGAGGTTCTATATAAGCCTTTCTAGGCGAAATTCGGAACTATTGAATTACCTCACCAAATGTTCTCCTATATACCGGCCTTTAAAAGCACGCTCAGGGTCTTCACCTTAAGCCTTGGACAGGCCCTGGGCAGGTATGAGTCTATGTTTACAGAGTTTACTAGATCCATAACCATTCTTATAAGGCCCAATCAGTTCGTTAATGTGGACTTTTGCACAACAAGCTCGACGCTTAAGAAACTGATCCCGTGGTAGTTGGCTTGGGCAGAGCATACTAAAATTCCAATCGTCATATTTTGCATAGCAGTCAATCCATGCACTTTATCACTAGGTCACCGAGGTTCTGCTTACAGGAATTCGCCATGGTCTTAAAACCTACGGTAATTCGCTTAACTTTCAAATACAAGTTTCGGGCATTTTTCATGTCGCCCAGCATTTCAAGCTCTTCACACTTACGTAAGTAAATATTTCAGTCAGTAACTTCTTCTTTTAAATCTACCAAATGAAAGATAATCTTGACAATATTTGAAGTAACCCATTCTCCACCATGCCACATTGCTTTATTCTAGAACCCGAATCTTAATTCGTAATTCGTAGCTACGTTACGAAAGACGAAAAATCAACATGTTGGAACCTTTGCGGAAACCAGCTATCAGTTGTTTTTCGAAGATAGCTGTATGAAGGAAAACAAAGTGAAAAGGAATTAAAAAACCATATTTATGGTAAAATTATTTGATTTTACATATTTTTAAGGAAACTATGAATTCTATTGCATTTGCAATCATAGCAGCAGAGTTAGATCGCGCTATGGAAATACAGTATATTTTGCTTTGCTGCCTTTATGCTTAAGTGCACATTTAAGATACCTACCCCAAAATGCGCATCTGAGACATTATTTTTAACATTTATAAGGAAACTGCTCCGATATATGCATTCAACATACCTGCACATTGGCGATACCTGCCTTAAAAACTGTGCAACTATTATCAATTATCAAAGAAAGTATTACGTTTACCTGCACTCGCCTACAATTACCTAATTTTACAAGCTTTTATTTATTTTACTCATATCGCAGAACAACGTAAATGGCTATCAATTTTTCTAGTTATATAGATAATAAGATACCATTCGAAAAAAAATTTCGCTTGCATTATTTTCTACGTGATAAGTGCTTCTCCATTATTTGGTTTCATAGGGATTCGGATACCTTCCTCATTGAAGTAGTAAAGAAAATTCGCTTAAGTGCCTTTTTCGGTTAGGTGCACAAGTTTTTCGTGCAAAGAAGGATGTGCAGCAAAGCAAAATATACTGTAATTCACAAAGATATGCGGAGCTGTCGGACATACACTGAGGGAAAAAAATATTAAAATCAAATAGAAACGTAATTGATCTTACTATAAACGTCAACGAAAGTACTGTATATTGGTAAATATTCAATTCAATTACGCGCATATTAAAATGACCGCGTTCGTACTGAAAAAGCATCCGTGAAGTGAATAATCAAGACAAAAACTAAAAAAAAATTTAATTTGCATGTTGCCTGCAGTGGAATTCGAACCCGTCCATCTCCGGATATTAACAACTTGTGGCAAGCATCTTTGCGCACTCAGCTACAACCAGGCATATAAATTTGCTTTCAAATGTTGAATATCCATCAACACCACAGCACTCGATTTGTACGGATATACATGTATGTACTATGTATGTATTTGTGTGTTCTCACCGCTCTCAGTGCGGCGCTCTGCATGCTTGGGGTGCGTACACTTACATATACATACTCAGATGTGAACAGTCAAATACGTGCGTAATAAATTTTGTATGAAAATATTATTTTTAAATACGAACATTTTTAAACGATAATCAAATATAAAGTATTCATTTTTACTATGCATTATTTCCCTCAGTGTAGTAACCATGGACGCATCTATGTCAGCTTCCGCATGTCAAAGGCATACAACATTTCTTGTGCATAGAACTCCGGCTACGCCAGATAGAGTATTTTTGCGCAGAGCCCACATGCAAACCGAAATTATTAATAAACTGTTGCTTGGAAATTTTAAACATTTATTTCAAATTAAAGTTTAATCCATTGATTACACGTGCGTTTTAAAGTTTTTAGATTCGAGTTATGCGTATGAACACAAAAACCTAAAACCATTGTACAAATAACTAAACCGGACCCAAGCTTCTCGATTAGGGGCAACAAACATTTCTTTCATATAAAGCAGTGGATAGAACTATAGGTATATATATAAGAAAGGCAAATCTGTCTGTTTAAAAGAACACCACTAGTATTTACTGCAAACACACATCGATTTACGTCTTTTATCTCGCTTCCGACACAGAATTGTTTTCGTACAAAATTACGCTTGTTCGTTTTTAGGCATGCCATTGTTACGTATTTCGAAAGTTCGAAAATACGATTCGGATAGCAGAAAGAGTTGCAGAATGGGGTTGTATATAAAACACATACATACATATGTAGCTAGTATTAAGTAGCTTATTAGAACAATTTAAGTGTTACCGATTTTACCACTTACATACACACGTACATATGAATGTCGTACTTATATTACATATTTACATATTTAGTATGTATAGAAACTACAACCAATTTGATAGTTAAATTAAAACTGCATCGTGAAAGACTCCGCCCATACACTCTCGAATAATTTGAAAGCGCCCAAGCATCATAGCATTTTTATGCGTGCTCTGTGGCGTTAATTAAAATGAACTGCAATTTTCAATGAAACATGAAACCGCAGCGAATACAAATTTAAGTAGTTGGTATACAACATGCGTTTTAGATAAAAGCACAAAAAAATTAATGCAAATAATTGGTAATGAAATCTACATACATACATCTACGTACATACAACGCTGAGGGAAGTGGAAATGTGTCAAGCGAATTGAAAACAGGCATATATTTATTTATTCCTAAGGAACGGTGATTGTTATTGCATTTGATACTCTTAAGCCAACTGCCTACTCGAATCAATAATTCGAAGCGTAAAATATCCACAATTAAATATCTATAGACTATATAGACTGTTAATACTGATTTAACGTCGCGCTAAAGCTATCTAGACATTGGTAAAGTGATATTAATTGCACAGAATATAAGCAACTAAACAAACATACATGTAGTCATGTTTTACACAACGCGTCTATTTTCGTGGCGAAGCGCTTTTACTGTTTAACAATTTTGTCTAACGTAGTTGGCGTTGGAGATGACGTAGAAATGAAATGCAATATCACAGCTGAAGAAAACAGGTGTACAAAAAAAACCTTCTTCGCGAGGAAAGCGTAACCGAATTTCAATCTCAACGGATAGAATGAAATTTTAATTTGAATGAAAGATCAGTTTTAAAGCAATATTTGCGCAATGCTCCATTTGCAATGCCACTAGCATGACTGTCTAGTGAGGAAGATCAGCGCTGCACTGGAATGAAGTCTCGTCTACATTATTACAAGAGAGAGAGAGAAAGGAAACTGCAGTGGTCATTATTTGCAGATAAACGCAAATAAAAATTCTTTAAACAGATCTATTTTTAGCGTTTCATAAATTTGTGGAAGAAACTAAAATATGACCAAATCTGAATTCATGTAATTTCCAATTGATTTTAACCGACTTTACCAAAAGGAAAAAGTTATCAATTCCTCGGAATATTTTTTATTTTTATATATATGTTACCACATAACTTTGGACCACGTTAACCGATTTCCATAATTTTTATTATTATTTTTAAAGGAAAGGTGTTACCTTACAGGTGGCCCCATACTAATTTGGTTTAAATCCGATCATCGATAACGATAATCTTAAATATTTTATATAATAATTGAAGTCGACTTTGTTTTTCGCATAAAAATTATTTGTTTTTTTAGTCTAAATAAATATGTGCGAAAATTAATTTTTTTTTTGTAATTTTAAAATTTTTTTCACACATCACTTCACGGTAAAAGCTTTTATCTGGAGTCAGTTCATGCAAGTGAATGCTTAAAATACCAGTAACCGGACTGGCATGCTACTAACATAAAATGCTAAGAAATTTAATTTTCTGTTTCATCACCCTAGGTATTATAATCTAAAATGATCTTAAATTGACCCATTAACCTCCTCTTTTTCAATAAGCTGAATTTTCCATCTGCATACTTCTACAGCGCTTACTCATCCACCAATCACTAATCATCTACAAAATCGTGGAAAATTAATAAATGACAAAACAAATGCTTTCAGGCTATTTTTTGCATAATCTTCAAATCTCATTTATTCCTGTTCGCAACAGCTAGCTTCAGCACATTTTATACAATATGTATATTGTATGCTATTTTCAGCACCAGTTATGGAAAAGTCTCTATTTTCGCAGCACAGCAACGGCGGGCGCGGCATAAGCAGCTGGGTAGGCGGCAGAGTGGGCAATCGAATGAGCCGAATAGCTGCTGGCATAGGGAGCAATGTAGGGCGCATAACCGGCGGTGTAAGCCACTGGGGCGGTGTAGGCAAGGGCAGCTGGGGCAGCCAATATACCGGGCTTAGCAGCAGCGAAAGCGACAGCCAAGAGAGCAAAGAAGCAGACAGTGAACTGGGGAAATGGAGAGAAAGAAAATTAAAATTATTTAAATAGTTTCTCAATTAAAGTCTCATTAATTAACCTTACCAATTTGAACATTTTGAAGATTTGTTTTTTCTTAAGTTTGGCACTTCTTAACAACTGAAGACGTTTGTGAATTGTGTTGCCAGTTGTCAACAAACTCCCGGCTTTTATATCGCACGCATTAAGTATGAGCGTACACAAAATATGTACAGTGGTGCTAAAATGAACCTTCAATTCGCTAAAAACAAACACCACTTATTCGATGTTTAGACATGGAAACTTTTGTTGCGGCAACTCGAAGCTTGTAGGGGAGAGAGCGCTGAGGAAAGCGGACGGGTACCGAGTCGCTCGTACTCGGGCAACACGCTTTGTGCTCTCGTTCGTCTAAGTAATTTAAGTTGGCGGTTCACAGCTGACAATAATAATTGCATAGAAATCAGTTGCTGTGTATGAATGCAAAGGGCAACACCAAAAGCGAAATTGCCGATAATAAGCAACTCGAGTTAGCGTGTCTGAACGCAGACTTATAGCAAACTTTGATGCGTCACCGCTTGCTACCAACAGTGATTTTTACATAGCTGAATACCTATTTTTTTTTTTTTGTTAAGGTTTATTGTTATATTATTTGAATTTATTTGCGACTAGCGCACTTCTTCGCATGCACCAACGTCGCACGCATACCGATAGGCTAGCCTTTCTTCGCCTTGAATAAGTTAAATACAATTGCAAATTGTTAGAAATTTTGAAATTCAATTAAATTATTTTTTAGAGCACAAGTCAGGGAGTTTCTTTTAATTTTCAACATCTTTTTTTAGCTTCACTAGAGATGACGACCATAAATATCTATGTTAGTGTTAGCCTATAGGACGAATTTATACTGGCCTTAGGTAAGGCTAGCGGGACCAAAACACTTTGCCGACATGCCCGATAATACCCACAACCTCCGTAAATTCAGAAAATCTTCCTTAAATATATTTTATAAAATAAGCGCATATTTTGATAGATATGTGAATTAATCTTAGTGATAGATTTTCGGTCCCACAGTGCCCGCACACAGTGGTTGCATTTATATGGGGAGAGCGGCCAAAAATACTTTTAATGGACATATCGGGATTCAGTTTTTGTCGTGAGGTCTGTTAAAAGTAAAAACTGTAATATGTAAAAGTGGGCGGGGTTGGAGACGCCCACATACAGTCATGTGACAAATAATAGGGACACGATAGCTTCATCTACTTTTCTTTTGTTTGTTTAATGTTTAGTATTTTTTTATAAAAAATACAGCTTACTATCTAACAAAAACCGTATAAGTCCTTATTTCAAACTTTGTATACAAATTAGAAGAATTCAACAAAATTTTACAACAACAAACTTTTTACTAAGCATTTTTTTAGCAAAAATCCAGTTATGCTTAAGAAAGTGCCAGTTGCAAGTGCCTAAAAATTCGCGTTGATTTTTTGATAATTTTTTCCCCAATGGTGTTATTATTTGCTTCAATACAAACAAAAATTTGGAACATAATTTGTATGGAAGAAAATTCGTGAACAAAAAATTGTCAAAAATCGACCATAAGTCCTAGCTACATCAAACTTGCACTTTATTATACTAAAATACTTGATTATACTTGTGCCTAAAAACATTATGATTTAGAAAACTAGATAGGCCAAACGATAAACATGAAAACAACTTTAGAAAATAAAGAGCTTGGATTACGGCGGCAGGCGGTTGCATCTACACTGAACACTTTTAAAATACCAGCCAACAATATATAAAGGAAAATATTGAGGTCCGATAGGGGAAACACACGTAAAACATTACCTAAATACTTGAAAGACGAACCAAGAAAACACAAAAACTACTTTGTAAAGCCTTGATTTATAAAAAACGCATCACGAATTATCTAAATGTTTAATTGTAGAAATAGCCCATACCTTTATGTGCAATATCCATTACATACAATTTAAATTCACAGGGCTTTTCACAATATTTTGTTTCCCTATTTTCAGAAACCACCGTTATAATGGAAACAAAAAATATATAACAACATGAAGTTTGGACCAAAGACTTATTGCAAAGTCTATTTCGGTTTAAAAATTTTTTTATATATTTTTTTTTTGCCTATGGCAGCAACCACTGTGCCGCGGTACAATTCTAAAAAACGTCGAGATGGGCGGGATCTGGATTGAATTTTTTGTGCCGTGGCCTTCTCCAATCTAGTACATAATTTATATGCTTTTTTTTATATTTTAAACCAAAACCACTAAAGAACGAAGAAATGTTATTTTTTCATGAAATAACTTTTTTTGAAAAAAACTGCATAATTAATGGTAACAAAATTTATATTATTTAAAAAGTGCAAGTTGTTATCTTTAATTCGATATACCTATTTTATCATGATCTACTTTCGGTTTTCAATAATTTAGTGATAATAAAAAAATATAAATGAACAAAGCAAATAAACCTCTTATATTTTTACCTGCGCTAAATAAATTTGTTATCGTTGAAATCAGCGGAAAAAGTTCTGTCAATCGGCATTTTTTCTTATTTTACAGCTAAACGGTCGCTATTCTAGACTTCGTCCAGAAAATAATGCAAACGAATATTTTGTACGAAGAATTTTTGGTTTTACTACTATTTAATATAACTAGAAACTGTAGACTGAGCAACAACTTTCTGCACAAGTGAAGGAGATGATTTTATGCGTGGGAGCGAGAAGAGTGTTTCATTACAAAACCTTTATATAATTGAATCGTGATCGATTATCTTGAATCCTCCTGAGTGAATACACTGAGGTTTCTGACAATGCAAAAAAAAACAGCTCCTTTCTTTCAAAGCTAACTGTGTGGAATTATCAACCTGTAAAACTTAGTTTGAATAAAGAAACAAATGACTTTACTTGTTCCTCGGATGCACAATTTCTACGATCGTAACTTAGCCAAATAGGTATTTGAGGTGTATTATTTGATTTATTCCAACCTTAATAACTTCAGCTTAGTGTTGCATGGTCTTGGTCCAATCAATGCATTTATTATATTTTGGCCGCTGTGATGTAGTTACTCGAAGTGCTCGCTTCCAATTCCGCAGGACCTGCCATTGAGCTCATTTTTCGACTAACATAAAAAAAAAACATAACTAGTTTTTTCTAATACCGGTCGACCTTCGGTAAACAATGGCAAACCTTCAAGCATTTCTGCCATGAAAATCAGCTTCACAACAATCGCCGTTCGGAGTCGGCGCACGCCACGAGTCCGAGGAGAAGCTCGACCAAACACTAGCATATTGTGTAATGGTCAGTCTCTTATTTTTAACCAAAGAAATACAAAGAAATAAAACAACACGAAATTTCGACTTCTATAGACACGTAAATAGTTCAGGTTTATTTTAAGTATTTCAGTTCATGAGTTCATCAGCGTTGTGCTCATTTTTTCAGCACTGCAACAGCGGGCGCAGGAGCAGCAACAAATGGTGCAGCAGCGACAACTGGAGCGGCAGCATAGGCAGCTGGGAAGGCAGCGGAGTGAGCAATTGAATGAGCTGAGTAGCTGCTGGCGTAAGGAGCAATGTAGGGCGCATAACCGGCGGTGTAAGCCACTGGGGCGGTGTAGGCAAGGGCAGCTGGGGCAGCCAAGAGACCGGGCTTAGCAGCACCGAAGGCAACAGCGAAGATAGCAAGGAAGCAGGCAGCGATCTGTAGGATTATTTAGAAAAAGATTTTTATTAAATATATATGCACGTGATTAATTTAAATGAAATAAGGCAGGTTAAACTCACCAATTTGAACATTTTGAATGTTTTTAGTTTTTTGCTGAAGATAGGACTTCTTAACAATTGAAATGGTTTGTGAATTGTGATGTCAGTTGTGAAGACATTCCGTATTTTTATACCAAATTCACTCGGGGTACTAGCTCAGACAATATGAGTATCTGCAGTGGTAGCTGAACTTAACCTTGAAATTTCTAAAATAACAAGTAAGTATTACTAAGTAGGCGCCGGATTCGTGACACTTTACCACTGACATTGATTTTGCAGTGATCAAACACCTTTGAAGTTGTTAGTGTTAGTACACTTGTTTTTATTTTTGCGTGTTTTGCATTCAGAAACATAGTAAAATAAGCGCACCCTAAGTTCATTGTAATTCAATTAGGCAACCCTTCGACTTTGTTGAGGCTTTTTTAAATCTTCGTACTATCGTTGAATCAAATTACTTTACTTACTTAAATGGATGAAGGCTATAACTAGAATTTGTGTTTGCGATATCGCTGACCGTTTGACTTTTTATTTATTATTAAAGCGTTATTGGGGGGGG